TAGGATTATTTGTTACGATATCTTTTGCTATGCTTTCCGTGTCCCACTCGTTTTCTATGGGTCTGGTCTCATTGCTAACTACGGGAATTGGGATCAGTTCGTTCTTTTTTGGTGCCCACTGCTCTGTGGGTTCTGCTATGTTTTTACTCTTCTCGTGTCTCCACCCGCCGATACGATCTGAAAACTCTATTAGGTTCTTAGCACGTCTTAAATGCTCCTTCCTGATAACAAAGGCATCTGTTTTAACACTCCATACCCCTATATGATTTTCTGTTAGCTTGGTGTAGTCGGTGTGCATTTTAAAGTTATGATGTTGTAATAACAATTCTTTGATGTATATATATCCGTTTCGTAGGGTGGCTTTATCAGTCACTGTTAAGCAATAATATTTTCTGTCCATCTCCTTTTCTACGAAGTCTGTCTCGCCATTAGGTAACTCAACTTCGTCAACATACATACCCGAGATTCTGTTAATCTTTCCTCCGATCTTGTTTTGATAATATAAGGCTTCCTTTAGAGTATCAAAGGCATAACTTTTGTGGGCTTTGTTCGTGTTCTTCTCAAGTAGCCCAAAGTTAACATTGGCTATTAGTTTTTTGATTCTGATGTCTTCGGCTGGTTTGTCAGAGATGTCTGTCTTCCATAATTCCGCTGTGATCTTCCTGTAATCCACCTTGTATACTCTGGATGGTTGCTTATAATAAAGAATCTTACACTGCTTCACGAAGTGCTTTAAAAACATACCATATACTAAAGTGTAGGCTTTATTGAAAAATAAACTCCGCTTGGTGGGCTTGACCAAGTAGAGAGTGAGATCGTGAAAATCAGTCACATTACCATTGAAGGGCTTCCATATATCAAACTGAGTGAACACCGGTATCTCGGCGATCTTGTTAAACGCAGATGTGTAAGCTTTTCTTACATCTATCTCCGTAGTCACTTCTGGGGTATAAAAGTATTTATCATCCTTGTCTGTCTTAGGGTTATATAAATAATAATGTTTATTTATTTCACCCGTTGGGGGGATGGTGCGACACTCCTTAAAAATCTCTACATCTACTTCGTTGTAATATGACTTGTGAGTAGGCTTGAAGAGGGCGGTGTTAAAATTAAACATCGCTTTAGACATCTTATTGTAGATCTGCTCGGTTCTCACGCAGATGGAACCATCTATAGAATTATTTACCAGGTTCTGGGTCTTAACCTTGTATTTAATCTCTTTGTGGGTCTTGTTGTTTATCTTGATCTTAAACTTGAAGTTAAGTTCAGATACGAACCCTGCGCTAAACCTAACCTGTGGCTCATACCCTGCCTGTTTGCTAAGATAAAAGAGATGAGACAGATCGTAGCCATTATACACCAATGTGTATTCGCTATGCTCTGTGTATTTACGTATGTCGTCTAGGGATGTGATCATTTTACATTCCACTGGCTCTTCCTTCTCGTTAATGTGATAATCTGAAGATGCCTTAACAGATATATTATAATTACTGCTTTTTGGTATCATCTGCTTCAACATATTCACATTATCACTTGCCGTGTAGATGTGACTGTTCTTCACTATAGCGTATAAGGCTGGGATGTGATGGTTTCTCTTTATTGGGTCGCGCTTATAAATGAGAGTATCAAAGACATCATATATTCTCACTTGCAAGTTAAAATGTTCAAATACCTTCGCCATGTCTGTTATAGACGCCCCGTTTGTTTTAAAATCTTCTTCCGTCTTATTTATGATCTTTAGGATGGCTTCTTTTGTTAGTTTGTTCTTCTCTCTCTTGTGATCTCCCATAAGAGTATCTTTATAATAATCGGTCAAGGTGTTAAACCAACACTCGTTCTTAACATAATGATCTACTTTAATGGCTTCCTTGAAGGTCTCATACTGTGGATCTAAGGGTGTCTGAATATATCTGTGATACATACTGACATTCACTGTGTTTGTTAGATCTTCGTCTTGTGGCTTGAACGCATCGGCATTATCTACCCTTTCGGCGTAATTAACTTTAATACAAGCAATGTATCCTTCGGCATAACCGACATCGGCTTTAAAACTGTCATCTGTCATTAATAACATCTTGAGCCTATGAAATGTTTTTGTATCGGCCTTCTCGTCTCTAAATATTCGTCTCCCTGCTAATTTTTCAACCCAATGCGTTGTGGCTACATTGGCTGATAGATCACGCATATAAATAGGAACGTATGCCCTACCCCTGCTGTCTCTGAAAGATACTGATAACCCTTGGTGTGATTCAGTCTTCAGTTGGTATAAATGGACATTGATTGAATATGTTCTTGGTTTTCTTGGATTGGTTCTTCCCGTTCGTTTGTTGTCTTCTTTTGCTTGGGTCATTCTCTGACCTAGTTGTTCTTTATCCTTGTGCTTGTCGTATATTTTATCATATTCGTTTTCCGCTTTAGTTTTTTCTTTGTCGGTTTTTGCGGTGGTGAGTTTCCTGATTAAATTGTCTGCTGTGGTGAATTGGGCGATCTTACGATCTGAGTATAAGTTAATTATGTTTTGAACCTTTGTTCTGGTGGCTTGGGTGATGCGGTTTCGTCTGTTGTTATAAAATGTTTGTAGTGCTTCCGTATTGCGCTTAATGGCTTTGGACATATACTAATATAATTAAACTATATATTTATTTTCCCTTTAAATGGATTTTTCTGAAGATTTCTTTTAAAGAAAATGCATCTAAAGAAAAAATAATATATATAGTATAGTAATATATGAGCAAGAAGCCCGAGGATATGACAATAGAAGAAATCAAAGAACAACTCGCTATATACAACAGGCTGTATTATCACAAGCGCAACAAGGACGAGGCATACATGCAAAAGAAACGGGAATCTGCACAAAGACACAACCAGAAAAAGAAGATCAAGGAGTATGAAGAAGCTAACAATATCAGACTGAAGCCCGAGGAGATTAACGATGAATTGCTATCAGAAATATTGAATGCAAAGAAGCCGATGAAGCCCAAGCACGGTTCGGCAAAATACGACATGAAGAACTGCAAGATCATAATGCCGATGTCCGAATGATGATTTAATTTAGTTATTAAATCATTATTTTCTTTTGTTTTTATATGAGTGAGAAACAAAAAATTATTAATGATGTGTATTTTGATCGCGCGGGGTTTGGCTCAAAAAGCCGGACTTTAGAAGAAGCGCGGGAGAAAGATAAAACCATCACAATGTCTGATATTAACGAGTTTTTTAGGAAGAATGTTGATCAAAAGCGTAAGCCCGTCGGTTCAAATAGCTTTGTCGCCCCGCATTCAGCATATGAGTATCAGATGGACTTGTTCTTTATTAATGATTTGAAAGATCAAAAGTTTAGAGTAGGGATGTTAATGATTGATATTTTTGATAAGTTTATGCATGTCGTGGCAATTAACGGTAAGAAGGAAGAAGATTTAGCGAGTGGGATGATTGAATGCTTACATAAAATGGGGAAGAAGCCAAAAATAATTTATACCGACGACGAGGGAGCAATGAACAAGGAGGCAATACAAACGTATTTACAGGAACAGAACATAGAACATCACAGGACTAGGGCGCATCCAAATTTCAGCGAAAGAGCCATTAGGACCTTTAAAGATTTATTATATCGTCGTGTTGAAGCCGATCAGAAAAAGGGTAAGAACAATATTCAGTGGACTGATTACATTTTTGAAATATTATTAACATATAACAATAAAATGAAACATTCGGCGACTGGTTTCACCCCAAAGGATGCGAGAAAACCGAGCAACGAATTAAAAGTTAAACTGCATTTAAATATGAATGCTAAACGAAATCGGGTCTATCCTGATTTAGGCGTCGGGGATCAAGTTAAAATATTTAGGAAGAGGAAACCCAATGAAAAAGAACGTGTATCAAATTGGTCGCAAAATGTTTATACCATAGAAAGAATTGACGAAAAATTGGGTCAAAAATATTATTATGTATCAGGGAATGATAGGGCTTATTTACGCTTTGAGTTATTAAAAGTTTAATTTTTCTTTTGATTAAAATTTTCTTAAGAAAAACACCTAAAGAAATGACACCTATACATATTAACAGGGAAATGTTCAACCGGAAAGAACAGGATGAAATCATAAATGACTTCTTAGATGTTATCAAGGTTAGAGATTACATCAGGGAAAGTAGGGGAAAGAGGGATAAGTGTAAATGTAGGGATTGTAAAAAACATGATCATTATTGCACATTATACGAATTGCCACTACCAGAAAATATTATTAATAATATCTATGGCTTTACTTATCGGTGCTATGATTGTGAAAAGAGGAAAGATAAAGAGGAAGAATTAGAAGAACGACTTGAAATCAATGATTTATGCTTATTTGATGTTGATAAGCTTATTTTAAAATTGGATCACATATTCCCGCTATATGATGAGGTCAAACACGTGATCACAAACATAACTATGAAGAGATACCGAATGTTTAAAAAGTTATTTGATGAAATGATGTATTGCAGAGACAAGAAAGAAATAAAGGAATGGATACAATACAAAATGAAATATAATATTAATGCTACAGCGTATGATTTTAACAAAATCGTTAGAACACTATTGAATAAACCTGTGTTTGACTTATTGGATTAAACAAGCATAACATTAAACTCTTAATGTTATGGTTGGTGGTTATCCTAAACCCTAAAAGTTCACTACACCCTAGGTGTCAAACTTGATTTTGGTGTTTTTTTTTGTTTTCTGCTTGTTTGTGTATGGGTTTTTCCAATGCTTTTGTTGCGTTTTTGGCGTTTTTATCGTTTTGAAGCATCCTAAACCCTAAAATTTCACTACACCCTAGGTGTCAAACTTGATTTTGGTGTTTTTTTGTTTTCTGCTTGTTTGTGTATGGGTTTTCCAATGTTTTTGTTGTGATATTTGTGTTTTTATCGTTTTAAACCGTTATGTTTCAAAACTTGGGGCTTATTTTTTTTTTGTATTTTTGTTTTTTATTGTTTTATTTTTTGAAAGTATTTTTTATATATTAACCAAGGCACTGGCAGAGGTAGAGGTGGATCAGCGTGTTCACGGCGGTATGGTAGACACCGAGGATTGATGATGTGCTTCTCGTCGTTTCTCCTTGCGCACAGGGGCTTAACCACTAAAACCAAACCACCCCTAACCCGTAGTAAGCTTTGACAATTCGGAGTTGTTTTTCAAACTGGTCTCAGCGTCGTTTGGAAGCAACAAAAGGTGTCATGTCCCGAAGCTTGAGCTACCTAACTACTGAAGTGTTTCGGTCTAATGACTGACATGCTTCGGTCCAATGACCGAAAAGCTTCGGTCCAATGACTGACTTCGTTCGGTCCAATGACTGAAAAGCTTCGGTCCAATGACCGACTTCGTTCGGTCCAATGACCGACTTCGTTCGGTCCAATGACTGACTTCGTTCGGTCCAATGACCGACTTCGTTCGGTCCAATGACTGAATTGGCTAGGTCATGTGCGCATCAGAAGGCGCTGAGCCAGTAGCGGAGGAGCCACCCAATGCCTGACCCATCTTGATGAACTTCACCCGCTCCATGACTTTCTTGAAGCCCACCAATCCGGTAGCGCCGAGGTTGGCAACAGCAAGGTTGAGAGCCGATCCTGCAAGATCAAGAACCTTGTCAATGTTGTCGCGCGTAGCCTTCATACTGCCCAGCCCGAAGAAGTGAAGGGAGATGTCGTCAATCCTGCCCTCGTTGGTGCCACCTTTGCCAAAAGCCATGTCATACATGAGGTTGATGGTGTCGGGGCTCATGTTGGCACAGTGCTGAAGGATCGCCTGTTCCGCGTCCGCCTCCACGCTCACCACGAAAGCGTCGAGACGAGCCTCCAACCCGTCCATACCACCAACACCAGACAAGGTAGACCGGTCAATACCCTGCGCGATGTTGCCGAGGTTCGTCTTATGCTTGTTGGCTCTGTCCTTGACCGTCGCCTTTGTGCCACGAGCACCTCCACGACCGCGGACTTCCACACGAAACTCGCTGTTGGCGACGATGCCCACAGTCTTACAGAACGTGCCCCCGCTTCTGGTGATCTCGTCGTTGCCCGTGAAGATGCGGATGTCCTTCGGAGCGACGTTCAAGATGTTGCCGATCTTACCACGAAGACTCGCGAGTGTCTTCACGTCCTCAAGGTCCACCTCGTAGCGCCGTCCAGCGAAGGTGAAGAAGACTGACCTGACGGTGTTCTCAATCGGCTCGGGCTCGGGCGTAGGTGGCGTGATGTTTGCCATCTGCTCCTCGTCAAGCCTCCGAATCTGCAGTTTGATAGCGGTAACCATCTTCTGCGCCTCTCGGGAAGCTTCCTCAAACTGTGGTAGTACCTCCTCCAAGCCCTGCATGTCAAGGATGGAGATATTGGCGTGGAAGAAGTCATAACCATCTGCACGATGGGGTAGCGGTAAGACATCCACAATCTCTTGCATGAGCAACTCTTGGCGCATTGATTCGGTTTCGGATGGCTCGTCATCCGATGGGGCTGAGTTCACATAGCCACTTGGTGAAGCCACTTCATCAGCCTCTTTCCATCCGTTGTCAACTGCATCACGCAACGACTGACCGTTTGACAAGGGGATGTCCGAATCCATGTAGATGCCCATCCCGGCTCTGGACAAACGCATCTGATCCATATCAGAAGGAGGCATGGTATCAGGAGAGGATTGTGGGGTATCACAACTCGGGAAGCAAAAACACTGCAAACAAAGAGCAAGTTTGCTCATGAGTTGCATTGCATACATCACTGTTGTCGGCACAAGCTGTTGGTTTTTGCGCGTGTAAGTTGAGTCTTTGGTTGAGGAGACTCCATCCTACACTACATGTTACGGGGCACCTGTGCTAGGGCATATTCAGTTGCCCATCCCCCGCAACGAAACTCAGGAAACCTAGACCAAGGCGCTATGCCTGAAGGTCTGCTAAAATATGTTACATCCCACGTTTTACCAGTAATGAAGATACTCGGCATACTCCAACGACTCAAAGTTCTTGTTGAATTCAGCCGATGACCGATCAACCACATTGAGCCTCGCCCATTCACTTGAACCCGTCGTTGCATGTTTCCTCGTGCTGTATCTCCGCTTCAGCTTCTTCGTCATTTTGCTAATCTCATAGTGAGCTTTGCACAAGAAGATAGTCCACCATTCCATCTCATCGTGAGTATCATAGATGTAGCTCACATAGAAGTTCTTCACATCCGCCATGGTGCGCCGTGCTAATCTGAGATCACTTTTTGAGATGCAACTCTGACACACATCCAACTGTCGCTCTTGGCTTGTGCATCGGATCACTGAGTGTCAGCAAAACTAGCGCAGACGAAGCCCTAAACCTAAACCCTTAACCCTTAACACTTTACCCTTAAACCCTTTACCCCAAAGTCTCCTGTCGGCATCTCATTGAAGCACTGCTGGAAGTTGTCGTAGTCCACGGCACTGTGCTGACTGGGAGAGGAAACCCTTAACCCTAAACCCTGAACCAAATTCTATAAGGAACCCTTTGCCCCTTTTGGGTAATAATGCCACCTTAGAGGTAATAGATGGGGCAATGGTTATTCCTAGAATTGTGTTGATAATGGGGTAGTAGTAGTGATTTATCGGTGGGGGTCCTAGGAATGATCATCTAATGGGGGAAGTAGTAGTGATTTATCGGTGAAATGTAGGGGGGAGTATAGGAATGATCATCTAATGGGTTGGCGGTGGCATTATTAGCCTAAATGGGCAAGGTATACCCTAACTCTATCCCCGAGCGGTTGGTAGAGCGCATGGTTACTGTTCCCTCAACTGCAGCGTCGCCATGGAATCGAAGAATCCGTAGGTCTTGGGATAGGAAGGATTTCCTCATTCTTCACTTGTGCTGTGGAACAAGCAGAAAGATGTTTGACCACTTGGTGGATAACAGGGTTGGGGTTGTCACGGTCGATATTCAGGAGGACCTGTTATCGGATGACACGTTGGCCATGCTCCTTCATCTAATTGTCCGAGGGAAGGTGATCGCGGTGGTGTCTGGCGCCCCGTGTCGGACGCTTTCAGGGTGCAGACATAGGGACAGCCCAGGTGCTCCAAAGCCGGTGCGAGCGCGCTATGGGGAAGAATTCTGGGGGTTGCAGGGTTTGTCTGAGGATGAACAAGCGGCTGTTGATGGGGATAGCCTGTTATGGCTCAGATCGCTAGTGGTGTACATCACAGCTCAGTATTTCACATGGCGCGTGCATGAGTGTGACACTTGGTTCGGATTTGAGCATCCGGAAGATCCTGCTGTGGTGTGGGGTGACGAATCGGATGATCAGGGAAGGTCCTATCCTAGTATTTGGGCCTCGGAGGTGATGAGCACTCTCGCTGAGGAGTGTGCTTTGGGCACGATCGGGTTCGATCAGGGGCCCTTGGGGCATGCAAAGCGCAAACCGACTCGAATGATGCTTCACGGGAAGCCTCACGTCTCTTTGATGCAATGCAGGGGAGAGGGTGTTGAAAAGATTCGAGCGGCAGCTGGGTTGTCATTGGGGCAGTCCGGAGCGTGGGCTGCATGGGCCCCGGGCCTGAAGGCTGCGATAGTCGACATGGTTCAGGGGGTACTGGTTGATGCTCAACATGTCCGTGCATGCAGTGGGGTCCACGTTGCCAAGGTCAAGGATCATGCTTCGTTCACGCAGCACGTGCTTCAGGACCACATGCCATTTCGAAACGATTGTCGGCATTGTCTCGCGGGGAGGGCCAGAGATCGCAGGCATTTGAGGCAGCAGGTTCCAGAGGCCTACACGCTTCATGTCGATATGTCGGGGCCACACAAGGAAGGGAATGACCAATTGGGCAGTGCCAGATATGTTCTAATCGGAAATTTCACTGTTCCTGTCTTGGGGCCAAACTGGGAGGATGCTTGGGAGGCCAAGGATGCCGAAATTCCTGAAGGTCCCTGGGAGCATCTTGATCTTGATGAAAAAGTTGATGTTCCGCAGGAAGGGGAGGTGCCAGCTGCCGGAGTTTGGGACTCGGGGGAAGAGGAGCCTAAGAGGGCCATGAGCCATCGGCTGGGGACAAACGGGAGGAGGAAGAGTGCAACACGGTCTGGGCTCGCATTCGCAAAAACTTGCAAATGAAGCAGCTGAAAATGGAAAACCTTGTCATGGCGGAACCCCTCGCGTCTAAAAAACACGCTGCGGTACTTGAAGCGGTCGCCAAGATGGTCACCCGGATTCGGGCTGCGGGGTACCCAGTGGTCCGTCTGCATTCGGATTGTGGAGGGGAATTCATGAGTAAGGGTCTTCGCAAGTGGTGCGCGCTGCAAAGCATCTACAAAACTACCGGGGAGCCAGACGTGCCCCAAACTAGGGGTAGAATCGAGAATGCTGTGGGGCGGGTCAAGGGTCTTGCAAGGTCTCTGCTTCAGTCTCAACCGGATCTCCCGATCACGCTTTGGCCTCACGCTGTTAGACACGCAGCGGAGCGACTGTGGCGTATCAGCATGGCTGCACTGGGTAAGGAGATGCCTCCGTTAATTCCGTTTGGAACAAAGGTGGTCGTGCGACAGAGATCATGGTCTGCAAAAGGGAAGGGAGCATGGAAAGATAAAGTTCAAGACGCCCGAGTGCTGGCACCAGCGCTGGAGTTGTCGAGGGGCTACTATGTCGAAACTTCGGAAGGGGAAGGGTTTGTGACCAGCGTTCTTTTCCAGAATGTTCAAGTAGCTGGGCAACCTGGGTCAGCAGTAGTCACTGAGTGTGAGCCGGTGAACTTGCGAAGAAGGGTCACGGGCAAGCAGCCGCCCCCTGAAGAACCTCCACTTGTTCGATCTCTCCAGGATGTTCCTGATGAGGAGTCTCATGATCCACTTGCTTTGCTCATGAAAGAAGATCAGGCAGCCGCAGCTCTGGCGGCGCAGACGCCGTGGGATAGGGATGCAGTTGTTGAGTTTCTCAAACAGACTGAGCTTCGCAAACGCACGGGCTCCTCTCGCACTGCCTTGAATGGAGGGGCGCAATTTATCTTTGGGGCATGTCGTCATGGTGGCGTCATAGGAACTTCTGGGTTGACGGGGGATCTTCCAGGCTTTACTGCGTTTGTGGTCCGGCTGATTCGGGAAGTGGTGCCAGCTCATCACTTCACGTCTGTAGCTCTCGGATACAATACCAGAATGGACGTCCACCGAGATCTCAACAACCAAAAAGGGTCTCGGAATGTGGTGGTTCCTCTTTGTGTCCCCAAAACAGGGGGAGAAGTGTGGGTGCAAGCTCGACAAGGGGATGTTTTGCGGGGCCAACCGCAAGTCCAGGTTGCGAAAGGGCAGCCTCTGGTGGGGCAAATCCTTCCGTGGACGGATGGGTATGTCACTTTGGATCCAAACGCCTGGCGTATGGTCATGCCGTGGAAGGTTGGTCAGGAGCGCATCGTTCTCGTTGCGTATTCGGTAGGGGCCTGGCAAGCGGCCACTCCAACACTGAAGGGACAGCTTGAGGACCTGGGATTTCCACTTCCTTCTGGGGCCAGGTTGGTCGACCCAGTGGGTCGAGGGGGAGTAGGTGGAGCTGAAACTGGCGTAGCGATGAAGAAGAATTTTCAAGCCACTCAGTCTCAGGAGCCTGGGGCGGAGGTTGTAGGGGAAGTTTGCTGGTGCAAGGGCTATCAAGTTGATCCATCGCTGTGCCTGTGTAAGGGGCTCAGGGAGTCGCCTCTATCAGATTCTGGAGGCCCTTTGAATCCACTTGAAGTATCTCAGGACGAGTGTCAAGGGGAGAGAGGGCTAGGTGATGAGGACGGATCTATGAAGGTAGTGTATGCCATAGAAGAACTGAGTGAAGAAGATCCTGCAGATTTCTACTACTCGGTGGGAACTCGGGGGTGGGATGACAGTGAAAAGCCGCAAACTCTTCTGGTGGACTCGATCGTTGAGGCCTTAGACCGAAAGCAGGTGATGTTGTCTGCCATCCTCTGGGCAGAAGAAGATCGGCTGGCCCAGCTCAGCGCAGATCGTAGGGATCAGAGCGGTGAACTTGAAGTGGTCGAGAGGACTGTGCTGAGTCTTGAGAAGGACGTTGGCGAGTTGAGAACGGTCATACGTAGCATGAGGTCTCATCTTGACGAGGACAGGTTCGGGAGATTTGGGGCTGATGTCTTACCACCTTTCCAGGGTGATCGTGTAGGTGAGGGATCGAAACATCGATGTGCTATGATGCAGACCAGCGCGGACAGCGCGGAAACCGACAAGCCACCTCAGGACCATGAGAACAGCGGCATTCCGGATGAGTTTCTTACTTCCAGGTCGGTCACTCTTCAGGAAGTCCAAGAGAACTTGGATGAGTGGATCGAGCCACTTCGAGATGAGGTCAATGCCTTGGAGTATGTGCACGAAGCAGTTGAGAGTGTTACCGAACGTGAACTTCAAGACTTGGAGAAGAAGGGCTTCACCATCGAGCGGATACCGGGTCGCGGGGTCTTCGTAGTCAAGGCAGGGACTGGGCGAAAGCGAGCCAGGATTGTGGCCTGTGGTAACTATCTGGATCCATCGAAAGGTGTCAGCGCCGGGGGAGTCGAAAGTCATTCTCCTACACTCCAGAAATATTCCACGTTTGCAGCAGGTTTAGACACGACTGCGTTCAGAGCACAACTTCGGATGGCAGCTCTCAACAAGTGGAGCGCAGCGGGACTGGACGTCAAGACGGCGTTCCTGAGAGCTCCATTGGGGCCGGTGCTACAAGAGCGACACCTGATCGCGGTGAAGCCGCCCGCGATATTGGTGCGCGCAGGAATCGTGAAAGCTGGTACATTCTGGCTAGTTCGCAAGGCGGTGTACGGCCTTGCTCCTGCTCCGAAGGCATGGAGCACGTACCGAGACGGCGAACTTCGACAGAAGAAATGGACTGGCAGTCAGGGGGGCAGCTTTGAGTTTCGCCCTATGTACAGTGACCCATCGCTGTGGGAGGTGCTGTGTAGCGGTCAGGTGGTCGGACACCTGGGCGTTTATGTGGATGATTTGTTGATCACTGGTTCAAGGTATGCGATCAATGAAGTGATCCAAGCAGTCCGCAGCTTGTGGGAGACATCTGAGCCGGAATGGATCGATGAGCCCGGTGGCTTGACCTTCTTGGGCGTTCAGGTGCGGCGAACAGCTGAGGGAGACTATGTGCTCAATGAGGTCAAGTACGCTCGAGAGCTGCTGTCAAAGTATCCTCAGGTTCAAGCAGGGTCATGGGTGCCGATGCTCAAAGAGGACGTGGGGGAGCCAGAGCAGCATGTCACCGCGGAGGACCACCGACGAGCCCAAGGCATTCACAGGTGAGATGAACTGGCTGGCGTCAAGGACACGTCCTGACCTGGCGTATGTCGCCAATCGGATGAGCCAGTGGATCCCGAAATGGCCACGACATGTCTACAAGGTGGGTTGCCAAGCTCTCAGGTATCTTCGGAACACAGCTGAATATGGACTCAGGTTTTCAGCAGAACCAGAACGCCAGTGCCAGGAGGGATGGTCTATGACCCCATCAGTGGAGCAGCTCATGGTGTATGCTGATGCGTCGTACGCACCGCTAGCCGAGCCGAGCCAGACCGGAGCAATCCTGCTCTGGGCAGGCTCACCCATCTCTTGGGTGAGTTCGAAGCAAGCTCTGACGACTCTATCCACGGCTGAGGCAGAACTCCTTGCCTGTGTTGAAGGTCTTGTCCTCACTGATGCTATCGAACCTCTAGTAGGAGAGCTCCTAGGCAAGCCCCCCACCAAACTGCTCCTAAACGACAACATAGCCACCTCAAAAATCCTCTCCTTCAGTAGCGGATCATGGCGAACCAGACATTTGAGGATTAGGGCGCGGGTGTGGCGTGAACGGATAGAGGCTGAAGAGTGGAGGGTGCGTCACGTGAGTGGAGATCAGATGCTCGGTGATCTTCTCACTAAACCGTTTGTGTGGAGTAGGCTATGCGACCTGATACACCAGATTGGGCTGTGGACGGGAGGTACAAGCGGGGCACAGGATTCGACCACGGGAGGGCCTAAGCATGGGGAGCAGGTTCTAGCGGCGAAAAAGGTCTTGGGGGTCCTGTGCTTTCTCCAGTGCGCCTCCTTGGCCGAGGGTCAAGTCATGAACACGCTGAAGCATGCATGCGAAACTGTGTCTGTTTTCAGTGGGGTTGTGGTCCTGTTGTGTTGTCTGGGGGGACTGGTCGGGTTGGGTCTTTGGTCACGACGTGATTCCGCCACGGCCAACCTGGATTGCCGGGTCCATCAATGGGGTCCTAAGGATGCACGGTCCCAGGACGATGACGGTGAGGAAGATGGTCAGTTGATATGGGAGGGCGACTCTTCGTGGCATGAGACGTGTGAACCCCCGACACAAAACCATGAGCCTCCACCAGTCTCTGAAAGAACCTCAACAGTAGGGTATCCGTCTCGAACCTCTCCTTGCACGAAGTGGCTTGCGGGAATTGTGGCTTGGACACAAGTTCAGGCATCGCGAGGGGTGAGAGAGATGGATGGGTCAATCGAAAGCATTGAGACAGCGGATTGGACACTCTGCATATGGACTATTTTTTTGCTGCTTGCTTGGGAAGGGTTTAAAGTGGGAATGAACAAAATGCTATCCGTTTTACACGGGAAGCGCTCAGCTCAGAAGGAGCATCGATGCACAGGGGTACAGCACCAAGCGGTGCAGACGGAGGGCTTGAGTAGGAGTAGATACGGGGTGGAACTCGTCCCAATCAATAGTATTCCTCCAACGGTCCCCCCTGAACTTCCTATCTTCATCACCCGAGGGCCGCATATCAAGAAGGATACTTTTGAAGTCCGTGAAGATCTTAGGGCATTGATCCGATGGCACGTCAAGCCACGTATGTATTCCTTCAACCCTCACCAAGCAAAGCTCCCCATCTCACCAGACAGACTTCAAGGGACTCGACAGACCGTCTGTGTCAACAATTCCCAGAATCGCTATGTGGTCATCGACGTTTGGAGCGTCGCGGATCATGTCTTCCAGACACAGGCACGGCAAGAGGCATGGACGGGATATACCCTCTTTTACCTTATTAGTCCCTAATGGTGGTTGGGTTCAGATTCGCTTGAAACGGAGCTCATCTGAGGGGTTTGTATAGTTCAGAGTGCCAACTCCGAAGGATGGCCCAAAGAGCGCAAGGATGACACGCACAAATCAAGGAATGTAAGCGTACCAGAGGTACCATTCCCAAGGCTCCGTTTTGGGATGCCATGTTGTGTAGACAAAATCTTTCAAGTCAAGATCTTTTGTTGCTCGCTTCTGGCCTTAGTGCTAAAAGTCCGTCGGGCAGTGATTGGCCATTCGCACCGGTTCCCCGGGAACAGTTTGGCTGTGAAGCTGTCAAGACTGGTCGCCCAAGGATGCTCTGCCACAAGTCCTCAAGGATGAGTTGGGGCGCAAGCTTCCATAACGGAGTCTCTGAAGGAGTGGTCTGCCACAAGCCCTCAAGGATGCGTCGTGCACAACAGGCCTCATGTCGGAGTCGGTGCAGCATAGGTTGCAGGCTCATCTTATGGCCACGCAGCCATAACTTGTGCAGGACCACAGAGTGTCAAATCTGCAATGAAGGGGTCGGTGTGCAAATAAGTGAATCCCGTCATCGAGCCCAAGCGGTCACTCTGTTGGAGGCGATGACGAGAGAGGTGGGCCCTGCTGTTCACAGTCATGTCTCAGAACGCCGAGAAATCAAGTCCACCTCCGCCTCCTCCCCAAGGACTGCGACTAGATGTGGTGCCTGGGTACTTTGCCATAGTCTGCTCGATGCCGATCTCATTCCTGCGGCACGCTGTGTCGGTTGCTACGGGAGCGTGAATGTCTGAAGGGTTCCGAACCTTCGCCTTGCTTCCCCGCACTGTTAGGCGAGACAAGGGGGGGGGGGCCCACTGTGTGTTGATACACCTCACTCACCAAGGAGTGATTCGTGCATTACTGTGCACCCACTTGGGCTGCGTGTTCAATGTATTTTGATTTAAATAAAGTACAGGTCTGGGTGGTGACGGCAACACGGGCCCGCGACGTCAGCTCACGCCAAATGTCAGCGCGTGTCCACGGAGTGCGCTGCCTGCTCTACAGTGAGCGGAGTGTAGCTGTCAACTTCGGATGACATGCTGGGAAACAGGTCTTCCCAAGCACGTCTAGGGAGGAGTAAGCGGCAAACCTGGTGTGTGGTCGTTGGTGCCGCCAGTCTTGGGCAACCTACTGGCTAACAACATGTGCGCCATGTGGCCGGCTTCCTGTCTGCCCACTGTGCGGGTTCTTACGCCCTCCTGGAGGCCGTTCAAGTGGCAGTGTCGGGTGCTCATACCCATAGGGCGCGTGTTTGGTTCACTCGCTTGCCATGCCTGTGTGGGCATCGGCTTGTCCCGGAAGCTTTGTGTTTTGTCAAGGTCGGTCTACGTAGTGGGTCTGGGTTTGCATATTCTCCCTCTCCGTGGGATGCGTGAGTGCGCACCTTTCCTTTAAGGTGCACAGGCTCCCCCCTTCAAGGCATATGGCCACACTTCTACAGAGGGGCGTGGATCACTGTCCTGTGATCTAATGTGTTTCCAGCGCGGCGACGCTCCTGCATTGGTTTTCGGTTAATTGGGGGTTTGAGGCTTCCATAGGATGACTAGGTGTCGCGCCTATAAAGACGTGTGCGCAACCAGCGTTTACACTGGCACGTGATTGTGCATCTTGATCCGCCCATTGATAAAAAGAAAGGGATGGTGACCTGGGGTGTCACGGTTCATGCTTCAGGGAGTCTGTGTGTCTGGCTTGAGCTTTTGGGTTCAAACCAATTTGGTACAAGCGATAAGCTTACTGTTCGCGAGCGAATCGTGTTTTATCGCTTGCTTCCGAATTGCCTCATGAAAAACGGCGGGCCGTTGTTCTTGGTTTGAAGCCAAAAGTTATTTTATACTTTGCATAGCGCCATGTGCAGCAAACAACTTGGCATGTTGATTGTATTCTTTACTGCATGTTGCGAAGTTTGCTTGAGCTCTTCATGTGTGCAGCACTGGCTCCATCGCAGTGCGCAAAATTTTGACCCACCCAGCCCACCCTGGGCATGCCTACAGCAGGGCCCGCTGACGCGGCTGCAACTCCCTGCTTCTGTTTCTCCGTGCCGTCACGGACTGCCACGTCGTTCGCCTTGCGTTCATACGCTTTGGCGCCTCCTGGCGGAACCCACCCGCCCACCCTGGTTGTAGCAGGGCCCGCAAAGGCGGCCGCAACTCCCTGCACGCGGTCCTGTCGGACCCCATGCTCGAGTAGAGTCAGGTAGCGTCAGGCAGATCGTCCTCGCCCTCAAAAGGGGGTTTGAGGCTTCCATAGGATGACTAGGTGTCGCGCCTATAAAGACGTGTGCGCAACCAGCGTTTACACTGGCACGTGATTGTGCATCTTGATCCGCCCATTGATAAAAAGAAAGGGATGGTGACCTGGGGTGTCACGGTTCATGCTTCAGGGAGTCTGTGTGTCTGGCTTGAGCTTTTGGGTTCAAACCAATTTGGTACAAGCGATAAAAATGGTCAAAACTTGGAGAGTGAAACCATCGCCGAAAGGAGGTGGAGAAGCTTTCCTTCGTAGGGCCCGTTTTGTCGCCCGTGAGTTCAGGTGGCTCAGTGCCATGGTGGACAACGAAGTGTTTGCACCTGCATCGTCTAATGCGCTTCTTCGTGTGCTGCCAGCTGCGCTTGTTGCACGTCAGCCTGAGGGCTGGACAGCCCTATCTTTGGACGTTGCAGATGCCTATCTGACGGTTCCGCAAGCCGTCGATACCATCGTGACCATATGGGTGAGAGGTGAGCAAAGATACTACAAGCTACTCCGAAACCTCCCAGGCCAACGCTCAGGAGCCAAGGATTGGTTCCAAGCGTTTCAAGCACACCTGATAAAGGAAATGGCCATTGAACCGCTGGTAGAAGCCCCAGCACTGTTCTTCATTCCTGGAAGTTCAGATGAGGGCCATGGCGGGGGAGGCGGGGGTCTTTGCCACGTTGATGATCTTTTTGCAGTCGGGGCCGATCCGACCATGCAGAGGCTCAGTGAGTGTGTGAAGTCCAGGTATCGCTGCACAATTTCCTTTTTGAGACAACCCGACGATGAGGTCAGTTTCTTAAAACGGAGACACAGATGGGTCAAGGGTGATGTTTTCTGCATTAGCCCAAACCCTAAGCACGTCGTAGATCTTGCAAGAATCCTTGGCGTTGCCGCACAGCGCCCAAAGGACAGTCCTTTACCAACAGGCACGCTTCCTTTATGGACACAGCTAACGCCACTTGATGAGGAGAAGTCAGGAATCTACAGAAAGTGCATTGGGGTAGTGCTTTATGTGTCAAGCGATTATCCTGCTGCACAGTATGCAATAAAGACATTGAGCAGCATGTGTGGGAGTCCCAATGAGGGAGCATGGCGGTGCCTGCGCCGCCTGGTGAACTATATGTTCTTCCACGAGAATCACGTCACTTGCCTTCGGACTGAGGGCAAAGGCATCGGCCTGGTTGTCCGAGATGACACCCACACCTTGGAGGTGTTCGCTGATGCTGATTGGTCAGGGAACCGATCAACACGAAAGAGCACCAGTGCCGGATGCATAGCCTTCGATGGGATGGTGATTCACACCTTTTCCAGAAGCCAGAGCTGCGTGAGCTTAAGCAGTGGAGAGAGTGAATATATCGCATGTGTGAGTGCTACGTGCGACGGCATCCTCCTTCGCAGTGCCCTGCAGCACATCATGCGTGTTGATGTGTCCATGCACTTGTTCACAGACTCCAGCGCAGCTCGGGGGATCATGGGAAGGCAGGGATGCGGACGTCTTCGCCATATCTCCGGTCGCTACACGCAGTACCGACCCTGACGAATCCTGCTGATTTGTTTACAAAGTCCTTGTCAGGAGCCCGTGTCCGTACCTTGAGCCACATCCTTGGAATCCGTGATTCACACGATGGATTTTCATTGGTCGGGACAACTGAGTTTGAGGAACTCCAACGCCGTGAGCAGGCAAAGAAGTTTCTTCGTGCTGTGAGGAGCACAGGTCGAGGGAATGCCGAGGCGTTGCATCTTCTTGCATTGCTGGTTCAGGTCGTGGGTAACAAGGCTGCGGATGATGAGGACCGAGCACAGTTTGTGCCTGACTCGCCTGCATCAGCAGGCGAGGATGCATACCCATGGACCAGCTTTGTCTTCGTTGTCACCTTGACAGTATGCATCGCATTCATGCTTGGCCGTGCCAGCGCCAACATGAACTTTGCATCCCTTTTGGAGTGGCCCTTAGTTAGGTGGGTACGTAGTTGGTTTAGGCTTGAAGCAACAGAGGCTGAGCAACCATTGCTAGCCGAAGCACCTGCTCTTGCAGAGAACCTTGACACCACATCAGAAAGCAGCCGTGAAAGTCTAGGCTTACAACATTACTCGCCACGGACTCGTGCAGAGATCCTCGGTCGATCGCCGCCTGCGACACCGAGTGATTCTGAACTTGAATCTGAGCAGCCAGACTCAGAACCTGACGATGACGATGTGTATCCCGGAGGCCATGGACCAGCCTACCAGAACCAGGCCGAGCTGGTTGCGCTCTATGAAATGGTTGGCGAGGCCGCAGCCATTGATGTGCTGCCAGCTGTCCCTCTGATTCCTGCAAATCAGCCAGCAGAAAACCAGCAGCTTCCATTGCTGCAAGATGACGACATCCTTCGGGTTAGGGAGGACGCTGAGGTTTGGATTGCGCCGCAAAATGGAACCCGTTTTCATCTCCTTGGGGATTGTGATGGTCTGAGAAGGGCACGATATGTTCGCAGATTGCCATATGGGCAATTGCAGCTTGAGTTTCCTGGTGAGTACGACTTGTGCCGACTATGTCAGTTGTGGGCTCGAGAGCTCGCACGTCGCCAGGACATTGCCCGTTTGACTGCCATGTTCCACATTCTCCATGTTGGTGGTCAACAGATGCCAAATCCAGTGCACCAGAACCTTCCGGAGCCCGAACCACACGATGATACATGAGAATGAGCCCAATGATGATGACCGACAACTTTTCGTTGCATGTGTGTTTAAATGAACCCGAATTTGATAGAAGCAATTTCTTGAAATGCTCATGATGCCTCTTGTGGATGCAGTCACTGGCTGGTACCACTGTACCCGAGCTTGTGTGCAATTTTCTTGAATTGCATTGGATCACCTTCAAATCTTTAAGAGATTGACAACTTTTGCATGTGGCCGGTAACCTCTCCTTTACCCATCACAGCCATGTGATGCCGATACTCTTGCAGCTTGCGGAGCTGGCAAGCAGACTCGCTTGGAGCCTCAGAGCTCACAAGGTGCCCAAAGGTCAAAGGTTAGGAGGTGCCCGCAGGCCTGTACAAAGCCCACCAAAACGGTGGCGGCCCTGGAGTGCGGTATGTCGGCCCACGGCAGCAAAGGACAAACCGAGTGTTGCTCTGCACTTGCTGATATGAGGCTTGTTGGCTGTCTTGCTCTGGGCATGTATAGCAGTAATTCCCACCAAAAATCGTTCTGAAAGCCTGCTTTGCAAAGCGCTGCAAATCATCCTTTGGCGGGGTGATCACGATTTCGATGTCTTACATGGGACCCTTAACCATGTATTTTCCTTGTGAAGATTTCTTGTGGTGGGATGTTTTGTTCTGCCCAGAAGCTTTACAGTCATGTCTCATGTCATGTGCCGATGCAGCTGTGCTCGTGAGTATCAAAAGTTTTCATCATGGGAGGTGATTTTAACTTGGTCAATCAACATAAAGAGGGAGAGTACACCCACCTCTTAGCGCAAGGTGACTTGCTAGAGTGCAGGTCAGAAAAACAGACCTTTGAGCAGGGCAGCACTCTCAGCCATCTGGATCATTATCTCATTGCCAACACTCTATATGTTTCATCCAAAGTCTGTGTTGACTCCTGGAGACACAAAAAGGTAACTGGAGGGCATCATTTAGTCAAAATTAGGTTTCGACCTAAACAAAAGCTGGTTAAGGATGTTGTGGCGATTCCAGTTAGAACTGTTCCTGCAGCATCCTTTTCCATGTCCCCCGCGACAACAGACTGACCTGGCATGAGGCGGCTGAAACCAGCCCCTCCCATTTGCTTCTCCGCAAGTTAATTAATACCACAAAAGCCCGACTTGTGGAGGAGCAAAACAGGGGACGCCGCCTCAGCCCGTCGGAAGCCCTGGCCGCGCAAAAAACCACCTGCTTTCTCTGGCATGCGAATATTAAAACTCAAGCCGGCGATTCAGTTGCGGCCCTAATCAGAAAGTTGGTTCAACTATTGAGGAAGCGCCCTTGTGCGACTATAGGAGTCCCTGCACGAACAGTCACTTCCTTGGCCAAGCAGATCACAATTCCCCCTTTCACGCCAATGCGCACATTGGTTACAAGAAGCGCTTAATAGGCTTCAGCTTGGGGCCGAGTTGAAAGCGGCTCCCTCCCCTAGCCTTCGCTCACTAGTTGCGCAAAGAGATTTGCAAGCTGACAAATCCAAACTTAAATGGCAGTCATTTCGCAAAATTTGTCCGCGTATCATTGACTCGCAGCAGGTGAGAAGTGAGAATGGCCAACTTGTCACCTCTATTCGTCAGCTTGATACGGCGCTTAGAGCAACTGGCACCACTTTGCATGCAGACAGGACAGCCAATGGTCCAAACTCCTCGACCCATATGCACAAAGGGCCCCCTTCGTGCCTCAAGACCTGCCTGATGAAAGTACGATTTTCAAGGCCATTATCACAACTAAGGATTCCTCACCGGGCGCTGATGGAGTGCCGTATGCATTCTGCCGTCAGAACCCGACATACTTTGCCAACCTACTGGGGGATCACTTGTGGGAAATGTGCCTATCCCAGGCAAAGCATCGGCTGCAGGCATTAGTATTCATCCCTAAGGCTGATAAGGGCGCCTATGCTGACAATTATAGACCGCTTGATATGCCAGACACGAGCGACAGAATCATTGACTCCGCTGTCTATGCTGTCTTGGCGGAATCCCTCAAATATTCCTTGCATCCTGCACAGGCATTGCTCAACCACTTCAAAGAGCCACAGGCAAACTATGCACAAATGCAGCACTACCTTGAGCTCAAAGATGCTCAACACACCGTCATGTTGTCTGACTTTGCCAAAGCCTTTGAAAGAGTGAACCCTTGGTGGGTCTTAGAGTGCTTGGCAGCGAGAGCTGCTCCTGCATGGGTCAAGGCGTACGTGATCCATTTAATGTTTGGCAGGCGCACACAACATAAAGTCCAGGGATTCCTACTTGACCCTATATGCATCCACCAGGGCCTTGCCATGGGGAGAGCGACTTCTGTAGTCTTCTTCTGTCTCGCCCTTGATCCGTTAATTTGGGCATTGCACGATGTATCCTCCTTTATTAGGCTAACGGCGTACATGGACGACAACAGTGCCGCCTCCAAGGGCCTACACTGGGTCAAGCGTGCGCAAAACACTTTTGAGCCAGCTCACAGTGCTGGTCTGCAAGTCTTGCGGCATCATTGCTTTCAAGGCGGCTTCACTTCGTTGCAAAGGCTACCGCAAGAGGTCAATGGAAGTGTTTGTGAGTATGGGGCTGCTTGCATGGCGGCGGCTGATGTACCACCCAGCAATGCACTTACCACTGGAGGCCCATCCTTGAAGCAAGCTTTAAGCCTCCTCTTAGAAGATGATACGAGAAGTCTTACTCAGGCAGTCATGATGTCACTGGCAAGGCTTGACGCGCGTCATGTGTTACTCCTCGTTAGCGGGAGCACTTGCTACGTACTAGCCAAAGACATGCTACAGTGCATGTGTGCGCAAGACCAGGCGTTTCAAGTTCTACTCGCCTGCATTATGACTTCGCATTGCCATTGTAAGTGCAAGACCTCTATTTTGACCAATAAGCCCTTCAGGACAGCAAACATATTGCTTCTGGATGACACACCCTGGGGGCCCAAGATAATTGCCGAGACTGCAACTATGCTCGGCTTTATCCTTCGAGGCCGCGTTGCCAAGTATGAATGGGAGGCAAACTCGCCAATTGAAGATATCGCCTGGGTCGGATCCAAGAAAATCTCTGACGTGACCCTGCGTACGCTAATACGTGACAAAGCCTTAGGCAACATGCTGCGGAGAAATAAGCAAGCTCTCTCTCTCACGGCATCCATGCCTGCCAGAATTACTTTCCACACGGCCTTTATTGCCTCCTGTCCACTGTTCTGCAACTCACTTTATGGTTTTACCAGGAAACACATGCTAAAAGCTTTAGCAATTGCAAGCTCGACCATTTTGAGACGACCTTGGATACAAGCAAAGCATCTTGCGGGGGTGCTAGATTTTATCAAAGCACCCAGAGCAATGGACCCCGAAATAGGTGCAACTCTGTCCAAAGTTGGTCTCCTTCTGCGTTGCAGAGGGAAATGGGCCTTGAACATCATTCTTCATGATCTTGAAACCGCACAGGTGGAGAATCTCCCCTTCTACAACTCGTTGCTTGTGCAAGCGAAACATTCCATCCAGAAGGCAGTCTCCCTGGGGGATGCGCCCATTATTGAGCATTTCAAAACCAAGTGTCAAGAAGCCCTTACAGTTAATGCAAGGGATGTGGCCCCACAACCCAACGGTCGTAAGCTCAAACAAGCTCCAAGCGCACTTAGAGCCGTCCTGCGGAACGCTGCATGCGTCGAGCCGCAACAGTATCTCAGACAAAAGGTTGCCAACTTGGTTCATGAAAGTGAGCTCTGTGCCGTTTTGCTTGCTCTAAATCTCCCGCCGAAACATGTAGCCTCCGATGTCACCGGATGCCTACTTCATTTACAGACAGTGTGCGACGAGGACTTCACTACGACAATGGGTTTGGACACAAACCAATTTGTAAAGGCTGCTATACACATCAAGGCTGCCCCGATGACATTGCCCAAACCATCGGTGGTATGTTGCCATGTTGTGAAGTTACCAACGCTCCTCTGCTTCAGGCCTCTCTTGCGGTTGATAGTCCACTTAGGACTATTCTCTATAGAGCAGCTCAGCCGCATGAGCACCAAAGCAGATATATTCAAAGCCACTGCTTGCTTTGTGGTTTGGGGGCCAACACAACCGAGCATTGGCTTACTGCCTGCGTAGTCACCAAAGCTCCCCTTTTGGTTGTTTTAGTCACGTTAGGGTATGCCAGTACCGCACCCATGTTGTCTCTCTGCCACACTGCGCTAAATGAAGCCGATAAGAATGGTGAGGTTGATAAGAAGTTCTGTGCGGTCTTGCTTGCGTGGATCGCCACCATACGCAGGTATATAATGGAGGAGCAGTGCACCTGGCATCCGGGATGGAGCGAACTACCGCAAAGAGATAAGCACGTGAGCTATATCCCCAAGCTTGCCTCACGCCTCTGGAATACGATCCCGCGAATGCTCCTTCCTAAAACGTTACCGGTATGGTGGATTGACGCAGAAAACAAAGTTGCTGATCACTTAGCAGACTTAGCAGGGCTTGCTGCAGACAGTCTGCGCTTTGATGCACCTATTGAAGAAGATGTATTCTTCGACTCGGGTGAAGGGCAGCCACAATTCTCCAAGCAATGGCACTTGCAATACAAGACCTCGATTGCGCGGCCGACATCATTTCTATGGAGGCTCCACCTCTATGGAACCCGGAGCTCTTATTGAGGTACTGTATTTACAACCGGATCAAACCAGCAGAGCTTGATACAGTCTGGCCAGGGTTAGTGCAATACAGAAGGCCGTCTCAACTCCCGCAAGGTCGCTATTATGCCATCAGGCACTGGCAAACTAGCAAGAGGGTAACGAGGTTTCTGGCCATAGGCCCCCACGCAGTTGAGATCGACATGAAAGGGGCTCACTACTCCCTACTTCGTCTTTTAACCTGCCATGCCAATAGGCGCCCACCTTTGCCGACACTGCAGGAAGCGAGAGAGGTCTTTAGCTCAACCCTAGCAACAGCCCCCAAAGCACAAACTGTGCAAACTAAACACCTCCTGCAGAGAGCGGTTGGCGTGGAAACCAACTCTTTCCTCC